TTCCTCAACATAAACACCCAAGAATAGCATGGAAAAAACAGGAAGGAAATGAGTGATAGTTATCTCATGGGAAGGAACATAACTTCCTTACAGACACAAGTGTTCTATATTCACTTGTACCCCTTCCAACCCCTAAAGACAACTGAGTGACTTCATGTAGAGAATAATTTGCCTAAGTATATCAGCAAAGAGTCAACAGCAATTGGAGTTTAACACATTTATTTCAATAATATGATGTATCTCAAAAACCAGAGAAGTACATAAATGATTAAACCTTTCAAGATCTGAAAAAAAAAAAAAAAAGATCTAGGCCCCAAATGAAGTTGTTAAAGTTCAAAATAAGTAAAGGACTCTCATCTCTTTGGGGAGAGGACAAAATGCTGTCTATCTATCAAGAAAGACCTTACTGGGCCACATTTGTTACCTTGGCGAATTTTCTATAGGCCAAGTGTGATCTCTGGTCTCTAGGCACTGAATACCAGTGTTTCCAGCTCAAAGAGCAAATCTATCTTTCAGAGATGGATATACACTGGTGTATAAAACTAGAATGATCATTTACTCAACACTAATGAGAAATTAAACTGCCGTCCAAGAAACCACATGATCAACCCGTCTTCTCCTGGGAGGCAGACATGTATGATGCCAGAAAAAGTATTTAAAACTGGGAAATAAGTGAAAGAGATTACTGATTTTCCTTTCAGTGCAGTACTGAGGTTGACTTGCCATTGTCTGGGCTATTTTAAAGCTCTGTAGGAGCCAAGATTAATCTATAGATTTTCGTCCCCTAGTGATGCAAATAACTTTTTGTCTGGCAAAACTAATAACCTCAAGACATTCCTGTTGGACATTAATAACCAAGTTTGTATCTAATTAGCAATTTTATTCATATGTGTGTGTGTGTGTGTGTGTGTGTGTGTGTGTGTGTGTGTGTGTATCCCTTTGAAATGATTTTAACATCTTACTGGTTCTCTTATTAATTGTAAGTTGAATAACATCTTCGATATATGTATTTTATATTTACATGAGTCATTTTACCTTTTTAAAAAATTGAAGGTGAACTTCACATGGCATAGAACCATTTTAAAACAAAAAATTCAGTGGGACCTAATACATTCGTGTTATACAACCACATCAATCTAGTTTCAAAACATTTCATCACCTCAAAATAAAAACCCTTATCAATTAAACAGTTACTTTAGTTCCCTCCTCTCCCTAGGCCCTGATAACCACCAATCGGCTTTCTTTCTCTTGAATTTGTCTGTTCTGGAAGTTTCACATAAATGGGATCATGCTATATTTCATCTTTGGTGTCTTCTTTTCACTTGGCATGTTTCAAGGTTCATTCTCATGGTAATGTATACTAGCATTTCTGATTTTCCTATTTATGGCTAAATAACATTCTGTTGTATGGATATACCAAATTTATTTATCCATTCATCCTTTGTTGGTCATTTCGGGTAGCTTAAGCCCTTTGGCTGTTGTAAAAAGTGCTGCTATGAACATTTGTGTACAAGTATTTGTTTGAATCTTCCATTAATTTCCTTCGGGTAAATACCCAGGAGTGGGATCGCTAGGTCATATCGTCCTTCTATATTTAAGTTTTTGAGGCTCCACTAAAAGGCTTCATGTGACGGAACTATTTTATATTTGATTTTATTTTTTTGAAAATAATATTGGTTAAGTTACCCAATAATACTTGGTAAGTTATAATGGATCTAACAGTAAGTGAAATTACCATCAGAAGTTTGCTTATTGAGCATGGGGTCAGATCAAGATGAGCTCGTTAGATGATCCTAGGCTATTTTTGCACGCTGCTTCCATTCTATGAGAGAAGTGTTTCCAACAAAGGGTTCTAATTCTTGTCCCCATGTCCGTGGTTAGGATGGCCTTGCCAAAAAGTCTGGAATACTTAGACTCAGTTAGCTAAGAAGCTCTGTCCCACATACAACAGCTGTGTATGCATCTGTGACTCTCACTTTTCTAGCTTTCATGGCTAATTCCTGGACGGAGGTATTCTTTAGTTATGTTTTTCAAAGCTAGTCAAGTTAATGTTATCTGATTATCCTTCAAAGTCCATACATTTTGTAACTATGTGCCAGGTGCCATTCCAAATATTAGGAAATAAGTTGTCAACTAGTTGTAAAAAGTTGCCCTTTCGAAAGTGAGCTTCCTTTGAGTCAGGTTTTGCCAGCCCAGGAGCCATTATGTATCCATTATCCATTCTAGTCCAGAATATATTAGTATTATCTAAATCTTAGAGGAAGAACTTATTTCCAAACTCTTACTGTAATCCTAAGTACTGACAGTGGAAGAAAATCACATTATCCTTCTCTTTCAAGATTTGCATTCTAATAGGTGAGGGAAATGTGGTCTTCTATAGCATTTCCATTAAGTAGGAACACTCTGAATAAAATATCTGCCCTGCATTCTACACACAATAAAAATCGATGTGAAAGCATCAGGAAATCAGCTGTTTAGTATTCTGCAGTGATGCATTTTGTTGTGCATTCAGCAGTAGCAGACATGATATGCATTTTAAGAATCATCTTATTCCTTCCCAATTTATCTTTGCTTTTTTTCTGAAAGATTAGTTGCTTTTAAACTTATCTAATCCTCCAAAACGCTAAAAAAAATTTAAATGAATATAACGCTAACCTCTTGGTCAAGTAAAATTAGTTTACATCATATTGCTTTAACCTTTTTACTTGTTGCACTTGCAAGTGCCATCTAAGCATTAAAAAAGGGGGCATTTATGAAACAAGAAAGTTCAGTTCAAGGAAAATGATCCAAGTTCAAATTAAGATATACAATTTAACAGGGTACTAAATTTAGAAATATTAAACTTCTTAAAGATGATTTTTCCTGCATATTTGGTACTCACTACAAATAAGGCTGTATGTACGGCAATTTAGAAAAATTAAGATGTATCTGTGACACCTACCTTCTTCCATTTAGATAAAGCTGCCCCTGTTAAGAACATTATTTCCACAGTCTAAAAATACAGTTTCCAAAAACCTGGCCCAGATGTTCTTTTGTGGATGTATAAATAATGTGTTTATTTAGCTACTTTTATGATTCATACTGAATAACCCTTTGTCCTAGTGATGCCAAATGTGCTTTAGATTTTTTGGTTCTAAAACCTTAAAAAGTCCTTGATGGATTTCAGATACAAGACCACCTATTAAGATATGAGTGCCTTATTTAATGCTAATTAGTCTACTGGGACTCACGCACATGATACATGCTCAATGTTGTCTAAAACTTGATCTGATAACTCTGATCACAAGTAGTTCTTCTTCCATTGATTGTGGGCCACCTTGACAGTAGGTACAAGAGAAGAGGCGTTCTCGTGGAATTTGTCTTTATAGTTACTGGGATAAGATTTAAAATATTAACAGCTTTGCCAGAAATCGGTCCCTCTCTGGTCTACCTCACCATTCCTTTGCACATAAACATCCTTTTGGTTTTATAAGCCAATGTGAAGGGTACAAAGAACCTCGCTGTACAATCTTTACAATTTTCTCTGAATCTTTTTTTAAGCCAATATGCAGATATACCTAAAAGAATCGAAAACAGGACTTCAGATACTTGCACACCCATGTTTATAGCAGCACTAGTTCACAACAGCCAAAAGGTGGAAACAACCCAAGTGACCATTAACAGACAAATAAATAAAATGGGGTAAATTTGCACAATGGAATGCTATTCAGGTATAAAAAGATATAAAGTTGATACATGCTACAATGTGGATGAACCTTGAATACATTATGCTAAATGAAATAAGCTGGACACAAAAGGACAAATGTTGTATGATTCCACTTACGTGAAATATCTAGAGTAGGCAAATTCAGAGACATGAAGTTATTGGGGGCTGGGAAAAGGGGGAAGTAAGGAAATCACTGCTTAATGATTACAGAGCTTGTTTGGGGTGATGCAGAAGTTTTAAAAATAGTGGTGGTGGTTGTATGACATTGTGATGTAATTAATACCACTAAATTGCATGCTTACAGAGTAAAGTTGGAAGTGAAGATCAAAGGAAAATTCCAGGTAGGTATGATAATTAAGGGTTAAAAGATTAATTGCTTATAAAGCAATAACTCAAGAAGTGTTGAAGTTTCTACTGTTAACAGAAGTGACAGACACAAAGATTAACGATTCCTAATCTTATAGAGAGAAAACAGCAAAATTTGCGGTCTTCAAAATGTCATTCAATTCTTTCAACATAGTAATTATTAAAGCTCCATGTTAGGGACATTGTTTTACAACCACCAGAAAAGCAAGAACATTTCTCTACACCTCACAATAAAAGCAGACTCTGGAATCACTAGACTCAAAAACAATAGCACTGGATAAGCATTATGCTGTAGCACAATCCTAAATTCACTAATGTCTATGTTCACTCAATATTTTTGCTCAGAAAAATATTTCTAAAACCCAGCATATGTCTACAGCCATGCCACCCTGAATGTGCCCGATCCTGTCTGATCCTGGAAGCTAAGCAGGGTCGGGCCTGGTTAGTACTCGGGTGGGAGACCACTTAGAAATACCAGGTGCTGCAGGCATTAACAAAAAACCAACGTAGTTCTTTTCTAGCATTTAAGTGTTGTCGAGAAGAATGGTTCCCAAAGTGTAGCCCACGAATCGGCTGCATCTGCATCACCTGATAACTTGTTAGAAATGAAAATTCTTGGGCCTCGTCCCAGACCCTCTGGATGGGAAACTCAGGGGAGCAGCGCAATGTGTGTTATAACAAGCCCTAAAGGTGACTCTGAAGCGCGTGCAGTCGGACAACCACTGGTCGAGAGCACAAGCAGGTATGGCCTCTCACCAATCCCAAGAAGTCAGGAGAAGAAAGCCAACCAGTTGACTTTTCAAACAAACATGCAAAATGTTTTCCCACTGATTAAAAACAGGTTTAGAAAGAGAACACGATTTTAAAAGAAAAATGAAAATTATCTATGGCCTTTTGTTTTAAACAGTAAGAGAATTGAAAAGAGAAGTAATCTTTTAAAGTACGAGTTTATTCTCCAGGTTTTCTTAAACACCCACAAATTAGTGATTTTATTGCAGCTATATCCAGGAGCGGAAAACAATTTAAAATAGGTACTTTTATCATACATTTAACACTTGTGAGAATGAAGCAGTATGAATTTTAAAAATTAGTTTTTCAATGATTCAATAAGCATATGGAAACTGAAAATTATTACAGATAGCTATTCAACTCTAAAAACATAAATTATATGAAATAAAAATGGTAAAAAATGTTTCATTTTAAAAAACCAAAAAACAAGAGGCTTATCACCTCTCCTTCTGGTTAGTAACCTGACGAAAATGATGAATCAACTATTACTTTCTTCATATTTAAAATAAGGTGATTCTATCCTTTTCACAAATGCCGGCTTTAGGTCTGAAATGTAAGGCAAGGACTTTAGGTTAAAAAAATCTCAAATATTTTACCGCCCTAGGCTGATGGATTCTTCTTTGTAACACCAAGAAATTGGTAATAACTTCAATTTGAATTTGTGTGGGACACTGGGACACGGTTGTAAGCGGCACCAAATCAGAATAGAGAGCTAGTTGAGGGTGAGCATCTTAAATAAAGACCAAAGAGGAGCACTTGAAGTCTTCACAGTGACATGTATGGCCAAATATTCTAGGTTTGGCAAATACAAAGGGAATGAATCCCTAGAAAGATGAAGTTAGTGAGAAGCTAGATTCAAATTAGCTCCAATCTGATTTACAAACTAACAATGCAATATAATTTTATTTTCTATCTTTTTCATTCAAAAGAAAATTAAAACCATATTAGTATTGCTAGTGTGAACTTTTTGTTTCTGAAATTGCCATATTTTTGGTTAGTTTTTAAAGATAAGTGATTGCAGATGTTGCTATTATTGTGACTAATAATACATTAAATTTCTAAAGAATAAAATTAGATTAATACTATATTATTCACAATGACTCAACATAAATAGTAGAGGTCCTACAATTGTCCCCAGCCATGGGATCATGAAATAGGACAATTTAGTGACCATTACATGGAAAATGAATAATGAAAAATGTTTCCAAAATGTTTTTCCCCTTCTGAATTTGTTTTTAAAAAAGTAGACCTTATACTTTCATCTAAACATTTTAAATAACCTTCTAACACTGTTTCATTTTTCTATTTTCTCTGAAATAAATCAAATTTTTAAAAAATTTCCAAAATTTGCTCCTATTAATTGATCTCAGATGTTTCCTTTGACAGTGAAACTTCTGTTTAATTCTGTAAAAAATGTTAATACTATACCATTCGCTAAGAGGGTGGCATGAAATTTTCTGGGGGGTCATTTTTAAAGCATTTTAGGTTGTTATCCAGTGTTCAAATAAAGAAACTAAAGTTCCTATAAAGAGATAATGAATTTGGAGCATTAACAACATAATCAGACCTGTAAGTTAAAGCCACAAAGTCTCGTTAAAACGACTGTGTGTTAAATTGTGTCAACATGATGTCACATGATTTTGTTCAACAACTGGTCACGTCAAGGAAAACAAGTAAAAATAAGCTACTGTGATTGAAACCAATTTGACTCCAAAAAAAAAAAAACAAAGTCGATAGCCTACCAAGTAGCTCCATACACTGTACTCAGCCTAGAAGACTTCATGCCATAAAATTTGTACTAAAATACAAATTCTTCACAAATCACAACTCTATCCCAAATGTATATGTTCTATGTTGCTTTTTAAATTCTACAAATATTTCATAGATTTACAACAGAATTTATTTAAAAATCCCCGTAAAATGTTCAGAAACACAGGTAACCAAAGAAAATAAACGTCATATACTGCTTTTATTATAATTATGGTTGTTAGCTGAATGAAAACAAATAATAGCTAAAAAGGTTTCAAATAACAGAAAAACATCTGGGTAAGTTATGACATAATTTTTTGAGTACTCAGACAATAGAAATGTATTGTTTTTGTACCAATTGTAAATGCAAAGTTAACAATGAAATCAGGGAGTTGAAAGGTTGATAGATGCCTCGAACATATTCACTATCTTTTAAATTTTAGACAAAGGAGCTGAGAATAGGGGAAAAAACAACCCCAACATATACACCGTAACAGTCTTTTTTTTTTTTTTTTTTTTTTAATGACTTCCAATTTTAACTCTTTTCTATAAGCATTAAGGGCATCAAGACCTTTATTGTAGATTATGTATCATCTCCTCTTTGGCTATGAGGTGTGTAGTCTTGTTAACTAGAGACATCAATGAGTTCAGTTTCTGAGACCAGTCATTTAATAAATTATTTGGATCCTTGGGTCTCTGGAAGTTGATAATTCCTGCCAACCTGTCTACTTTAGCAAAGATGGTCTTGTTAACTACTAAATTTGAGAGAAAAGCCTCTGACTCCTGCAAGAGAGAAAGACAAATTGGATTAAGACTTGATAATTATAGACAATTAACAAAATTTAAGAAAAGTATTTTCTAAACTCTTCATTCAAGATATGTAGGGCAGAACTTCATTATTAATAGTAAGCAACTACCGATTTCCTGTAATAATGTACTTATTTTACTGAGAGTCTAGGGAATGAATATAATGAGTCCACTCAGAGTTAGGGCTGAGTCTCAATCTGCCTCCCCACAAACCTAACACCGCTGGTACTGGGACAGGGCCTGACATCAACAGCAACGCCATCTACTCTCTCCTACGCTTCCTCCTAAATGGCATGTCCTGGGACCTTTTCAGGTAAATTTGCCGTTAAGTCTCCCTCACATCTTTTATTCCTACCATTCACTTTTGGGAACCTAGACATATTTATTATAGAATATATACCCTGGACTTCAAATTAACCAATGGAAAACTAACATACTTAAGATGTTAACTAGTATAAATAATATTAATGTAACTATAAACTGATATTTGCGCTATTTTTTGGTACTTAAAATAGGTTGGGGAAACTATCACCTAAACTTAAATAAAACAAAATTGATTTTCTCACTCGATTTCTAGAAGTCCACTGAAATTCAAAATGAATGGCTAAAAATAACTCAAACAAGCGTATACTACTTACATCAACAGATAGATCCAGAAGTTGTGCCATTCTCTTCATTGTTATCCTTGTATAATACTTGGCCATTATTCTAATATTCTGAGGAGAGGAGAACAGGGAGGACATGTAAAAGCTGTCAGAAAGGCTAAAGTCCACTTGTTTTCATATGCAAATAGGTTTAGTTATAATGTCAGACTGAGAGCTTTTTTTTTTCCTAAAGGCCACCACTGGAATGGTGTTGGTTCTAAACTTCAATAACAAAACTAAATACTTAGATATTTTGGTTTCTGCAGTTATTTATAAGTTATTCTGAGTACATTCCACAACCCTTTAAAATTGTATAGTCAAAATATAGACTTAGTGATTGAAAATTGTAACTGTACAATATTTTTGCTAAATGCAAGAACCTAAAGTTAAGCTTTTCTAATTATGACACAAACATTTAAAAGGTTGAAATTTTTAAAAATTGAGATCATCTCAAAACATCACTTTATCTTAACTACTTCAAGGTAACTAGAAATTAAATTCCCTAAGTTTCACTGGAAATGGTACTGAAGTTAGGGACACTCCCCTTTATGATTCTTGATATTAACAGGCCAGCACTCCCAAGGGAAAATGGGGAACAGCAGAGAGAAAAGTGAACTCATCTTTGAAGAAGCTGCACCTCCATCCCCATCAGGGTCGATGGCAACACCAATCCCTCAGGAAGTGGGATAATCATTCTAGACCCCACTGCTGCCTTCACCCTTTAAATTTAATCAATGACCAAATTCTACTGATTTTCTTAAAATAATTCCATTCCATCCATTCTTCAATACCTTAGCTACTACCTTAATTCAAGCCCATACGGTCCCATACTTAGTCTCATCTCTAGTCTTTTCTCTCTCTAAACGCATTCTCACACTTACCCCCGAAGGAATCCATAAAACACAAGCCTGGTCATTATCCTCTCAGAGGTTTTCACTACTGGGTGTACAAACTTTGTAATGCAGATCCTTGCTACCTAACTTCCTTTCTTCCTTTCTCGCTGAGCCCTTTTCTTGGGTCCCCAAGTTCCCCTGCTGGTCTGTGCCTCCAAGCCCTTGCTTAGACTGCCCTGTCAGCCTGAAAGGACTGCTCTCCCTTGTCCACCTGCTAACTCTGTATTCTTCTTACAAATCTTACCTCTCACGTCAATTCTTACGTATCTAGCCTGAACATTCTTCCAGGTAGAACCAATCAACTCTCTCCTTACACTAGCCTGTACTCTATATATACTTGTATCATAATATCTATAATACTTTTATTTATAAACGCATCTTCCCTATGGTTAACTTTTAAGCTTTTTGAAGGTAGCGACCATGTCTTACTCTCCTAAGTGTCCCAGCACTTTGTACAGTGGCTGGCACATAGAAGATTAACAATAAATGTGTTTATTATATGAATGAATGTTGACATTATCCAATTTGTAGCAACACCAAGAAGATCAAAGGTTTAAGACATGTTACCCATTTCTAAAACTACCAAGTGAGTATCGGATAGAAAACCATCTCCCCCACCCCCATCAATCCCTCACATTCTTAAGACATTCTTTCTGGTTTATATACTATAAAATTTTGGATTTTTGAGAAGTCCTCTCAAAATGAAGCATGCTAACACCTAGTTATCTTTTCTTGAAAAGCCAAATATAGGAAGGAGGAAAGACAAGAAGGATGAGATAAATTCTGATGTGCTTTGGGAAACATAAACATTTGAACAACAGGCTTACATCACTATTACATTGGGCATAGAAAAAAAAAAACCCTAAGTGAAGAATTAAAGACATCGCATCTAAGACACACATTTGATTATCAAACTTGAAAAATAAAAGTTTATGCTCAAATTTTCCAAACTTTACTTTTTAATTGTCATCTCTCCCATGCCATATTCTTACATGTTCAACAACTCTGTTCTTCAAGTCTTTCCACCTTTTTTCACCTTCTTCTGTATAACCAAAAACATCAGTTGCAGGACTCTCAAGAGAACCTTTTCTTAATTCCATTCCATAGTCTTCAACGAGTGTGGACCAACGCATCAGCTCCATTGTGGTAAAAAGCTTTAAAAGATCCCTGTAAATTGTATGAAACTTACTATTCCAAATCTATAAATTAACTTTCATCTAATATAATGGCAAGTTTTTAAATACCAACAAACACTTTTTTATAAATTTTTATTTGTAGAACAGGAATCAAGTGAATTATTAATATTACCAATTTTACTACCATTCTTCCCATGGTAATCCTGCATAGAGCATTCCCTGACCTAACATTGTCCTTTCCTTTATTGTATTTGCCAATCTCTGGACTAAAGATTCACTAATGAAACAGATAGAAGAAAAATAACTTAAAAAAATAAACGTCCACTGTGCTTATGATGAAGTGTATGTCTGTTTTATGTAATGCCCCAAACTACAAATGACAAAACTTTATCAAATGGTTAATTAACCAAAAGCTGCTAAAATTGCTTGAAATAAAACTTCTACTGAATAAGTGGTTTAAAATGATGTGTGGTAATCTCATCACATTAATTTCTGATGCGGTACTAAGTAACATTTCACCACTTTATTATCTCTAGTTTTACTCTCTAAAACAATCTACCAGCAACCAATTAAAAAACGTACCCTTAGGTTAACCAATTTTCTTTCAAAATAGCACTTTTACTGAGATATACTTCACTAATTATAAAAGTACTTACTTATATTTAGGAATTTCTTCTAACTTCTTGTCACCACTTATTCGGTGAACCAAATCTGACTGTTCATTATCAAAAGGAGCCAAGATAACATACAGGACAACACTTTTCAGAGCCTAAAAAAGTTGTATAACACAATAGATTATATGCAGGATTAGAAACAAAATATAAACTTTGGCAAGAACTAAAAAAAAAAAAAAATCACAGATTAATTGTATATATTAATTTTTAATACTGTACTCAAAATTCTTAATCTTACCAAGCTGCTCTTTTCATAGTATCTTTCTGTAATATTTATTTTTCATAAAACTATTATAGTAAGTCTTTGCTAACTTGAATTACTACCTGGGCTGACATTTTTTTTACACAAATGTATAAAAGAAAAAGTTCTTATAATAAGTCAGTAGCATAAATGTGGAATACACATATAAGCTGTTTAAAATTGATTTTATAAAATAATTTTCCAAAGTATTGCTGGGTCTTGTCTACGGCCATGCCACCCTGAACAAGCCTGATCCCATCTGATCTCAGAAGCTAAGCAGGGTTGGGCCTGGTTAATACTTGGATGGGAGAACACCTAGGAAGACCAGGTGCTGTAGGTGTAAAAAATAAAAAATAAATAAATAAGGGATTGGAAACTGACAAGGTCCTTGTAATCTGTGAGGTCAACCAAGGGCCGCCTCACCAAAAAAAAAAAAAAGAAAGAAAAAAAAATAAGTGATAGGTCTCTATCTGTAACCTTTGTTAGCAGGTGACCTGCTGTACATATTTTAAATAGTAAGCCTACATTTCTTCCACTGTGATAAATAATTTACAGTATTACCACAATTCATCTGAATAAGTAAGGATAAACTGAATTATCAACACGCTGAATATAATGCAGCATCATAAAATTGCACATAATTACTGAAGTAAAAATTTCAAAATTTATAAAATATGTAAATTGCTCCTAATAAGTATCAATGTCAAGTTTAAGAATATATTCTTACCTGTTGCCACTTTTCACTTTCTGCCTGTATACACGGAGTATCATATATTGCTCTGTAGTGCTTACAAATAGACAAATAGGAGCCCTCATGTTGATCCAGCTGAATCATTAAGTTATAGTATTTCAACTTTAATTTCTGAAAAAAACATTGACAAAATAAATTGGGGGTTTGGGGGTTTTCTTCCCAAATACTTTTAAAGTAAATTTATAGTAAGAGATATGCTTACCTCTGTATTTTCTTCTTGGAAAAATTTGGTGTTGATTTTCTTGCTGATGATTTGTGTACGAATATAATCCTTCACAGCCAGGCAGAGCCTCATCTGCTCCAAAATAAACTCCACTCGCTCTTTCTTTTCCATTGACCCGTAGGTTTCCACCTACCAGAGTAAGTCCTCAAATTAGTTTATAACATTTTTAAATTGCAACAAAATTAAACACACATTAACATATTCACCCTTGATAAATAGTAAGAACTTTCACATGTATTGGGAGAATGTTGATGCTAGTTTCCTCCAGTAAATTATAATTAAAAAAATTATTTTACAGTAAAATGGATTTTTTTTCTTTTGGTGTAAAGTTCTATGAACTTTAACATATTTATAGATTTCTGTAACCACCATCACAATCAAGACACAAAACAGTTAATATCACCCCAAAAAACTCCCTCATGCTACTCCTTTATAGTTACATGCTTCCCCCACTCATAACCCCTGACAACCAATGATCTGTTCTACATCACTACAGGTTTGTCTTTTTAAAGATGTCAAATATAGTGGGTAACCTTTTGAGACTGTCTTTGTTCACCTGGCACAATACTATGAATAATAAGATTCATTCAAGTTGTTGTGTGTATCAATAATTCATTCCTTTTTATTGCTAAACAGTATTCCATTTTAAGGAGGAACCATGGTTTATCCTCTCACCTGCTGAAGACCATCTGGGCTGATTCTATCTTTTGTCTACCATGGAGAAAGCCACTATAAAAAACTGCCAAACTGTTTTCTAGAGTGGCTGCAGACTGTATTCCCATCAGCAATCTGAGAGTTTCAGCTGCTTTGCAAAATTCCTGTCATCTCTTGGTATTGTCAGTAGTTGTTTTTTTTTTTTGTTGTTTTTTTTTTTTTTTTTTTTTTTTTAATTTCAGCTCTTCTAATAGGTATGTAGTGGTATGGCATCTCATTGTAGTTTTAATTTGCATTTTCCTAACAGCTAATGAGGAAATTATAATTCTAAATACAAAAAAAGATGCCAGTTGCAGGCCTTTTATTCACATAACAGTTGAAACCATTATATAAAAAAGGAGGCACTGGTCATTTTTTAATTCAGATAACAAGGCTGATATGACTCCTAATGGATGTAGAATGTAGTTACAATAGATATGAATACAATGTAGAAAATCAATTATATCAAGTAGGATGAAAAAGTTCCTAATATTTGGTATACATATATTTTAAGTGAATTTATAAAATCCAGAATGACACATTTTACAAAGCAGTATAAAGTGAGGCTATTATTATAATTTGGTCTGAAAATGTTTTTATTTTACTGTTTCCTTTGTAATTTCTTAAGGAAAATAAAAACAATTACAATGAATAATTGATGTTTCATTTAAACATCTTCACCCACTCTCTCTGAGTCAATTACTTTGAAGCAAATCTCAGAAAACATATTATAAAGATTTCAGTATGTATTTCTAAAAGAAAGACTTTGAATATTATCGTACCTAAAAATTCCTTATATCACCAAATATCAGTTCCCAAAAGTCTCATTTATTTTTTAATCAAATCAGATCCAATTAAGGCTCATATTTTGACAGATACATTTCTTATGTCTCTTTTTTCCTTGCCATTTATTTGTTGAAGAAATCAAGCCAATCATCCTATAGTTTCCTAGAGTCTGAATTTTGCTGACTATGTCCCTGTGTATCATTTAACAGGTTCTTCTGTCCCTGGTATAGCCTGTAAACTAGTGGTTACACATGAATCTATATATAATCGAGATTTAATTTTTGGCAAGAATATTTCACAAGTAATGTTGAATTATGAGGTACATAATACTCCTGGTTGTAAAATAGTTTCAAGGCAAAAATATGAAGATAGTAAAAAGATCAGTGGTTGCCAGGCATTAGAGGGGAAATGTGAAATGACAAGAGCACAGGATTTTTATAAGTGAAACTATTCTGCATGAAACTACAATGGTGAACACATCTCACTGTACATTTATCAAAATCTATAGAATGTACACCACCAAGAGTGAACCCTAATTTAAACTATGGACTCTAGGTGATAATAATGTGCCAATGTAGGTTCATCCACTGTAACTACAAAGTACAACTGTGGTGCAGGATGTTGACATAGGGGAGGTTTTGAGTGAGTAGGGGCAGGGGCTATATGCAGAATTTCTGTACTTTCCACTCAATTCTGCTGTGAACCTAAAACTGCTCTAAAAAATAAAGTCTATTTACAATTTAAAATATTAAAAATCATACCATTTTCATCTATTAAAGCAAATATTTTTAATTTATGATACTAAAATGTCTATCAAACATGCAGGATGTTGACATAGGGGAGGTTTTGAGTGAGTAGGGGCAGGGGCTATATGCAGAATTTCTGTACTTTCCACTCAATTCTGCTGTGAACCTAAAACTGCTCTAAAAAATAAAATCTTTTAATTAAAAAGAAAAAAAGAAAGAAGTCTGAAGCCAAACAGAACTAGTATGAATCCAAACTCGGTCACTTCACAGTAATGACTTTAGGCAAGTTACTTAACTTTAAGTCTCAGCTTCCCTGGCTGAAAATTGGGACTAAAAATTGTGTGTGAACACCGAATGAGACAAAGTATATAGAGAATATATAATATGTTAAAAAAAAAAGAACAATGCATAGCATTGCAAGATCCTTCCAGTATAATTTTTTTCCCTTTAGCTAAAAAGGACAAGGTACATGATTGAAAAGTTAGAATAATCAATTTAACTTAATAGGAAGCCTTTGATGGGCTAAAATAATAAGCCAGGTTTTGAGCACAGTTCGTGTACATTTTTCTGGTGAGAATCAATGGTTTTTCTCATATTTCTTTAGCTCTTTGTTATCTTAAGGTCTCTCTTAAAAATTGTCCTGAAACATAGCAAATTATGAAGCACTTTTTTTTGATAAACCAATTTAGCCTACAAATTGACCACCAAATATTAAGAACAAAACCAATAATTAATATCAAATTCCTTAGGCACAGTAAATAGTAAATAAATTACTGATTTTATTTAATTCTGATTTCTATAATTCTATCATTCCAAAGAGAATTAAAATCTTCAAATAATAGCACAATATCAAGATTAATTTGTTCATCCTAATTTTTCTTCAAAACTTCTTTAGTTGTTAAATTTACTTGGGACCATAATTACGCTACTTCCAGCTACTTGAACAACCTCACACTCTATTGCACTCACTCTTAATCTTGGTGGTTCAGAAAAAAGTAATAAGGTGCCAAAATAGGCTATTCCTGCAAGAAAATATTGCTGACTAAAATACATTTACAAACTCTAAAATGCAGCACCATACCTGCAACTCTTGTAAAATGGAGGCTGCCTCTTTGACGTCACCATTTTGCTCTTTGATAGTTGCTAATGTCTTGGTCAGTCGAGCACGCTCAATTTCAACATAAATCTACAAATATGAGAAATTTATTATTATCCAAATTCTTATAGAAATATATTAAAATTTAAAAGAGAATTAAACTATTATTCTAACTAGATATGAGTATTTATCTTGGAGTTATTGTGCACTTTATCCTCCATATACAAATGGAGCAGTGTGACATTTTACAATTCACAATCATAATTTTTAAGAAAATGTCTTTATAAAATATTACCCATATTTTGCAGCTTTGCTTTGAAACCTAAATATAAAGTCTCTGTGTTTAACAAATAACCGAACCATGTGCTACGTAAATGGCACAGAAAATGGAGAATGCCTGTAAAGGAATTATTTGGGGGAAAAAAAACACTTTATAAAGAGCATATGCAGTCAAGTAGTTACAATTCAATCAATACTCTAATTCTGATGTCTTTAAATAGAAAGCTACATTCTTTAAAAAGATCTGATATTGCTAAGTATTAGATTTACTAGCATTTTTGTAGCTATACATAATGTTAGTGGATTTATAATTTCTAACAAATTAAACATTTAAAACATAGCTATATAGAGCCTAATAGTCTAGGAAACTAACTTTCACACTTAGGCTTGCTTACTCATTTAGCCTTTGCTCTGTAGCAACCTCTTTTCCTCACTCCGTCCCAAAAAACCTTAATCTCCAATAATAACACACTACTTAGTTTCTTAAATGTACTATGTTTTCTTTACTTTGATATCTTTGTGTATAATTTTCACTATGTCTAAAATGCCCTTCTCCCTACCCCCTTGCCCTGTAGAATTTCTATTAATTCTTAAAAGGCAGCTCAGCCATCAACTCTTTGAGGTTTCCCTGGGCACCTCAGCTGATCGATCTCTACCTCTGTGCTATTGGGACCTACAGGCACACTGCTAGTCACAACACAGCGCAGTAATTATTTCTATGACTGACCTCTCTGAGTTAGAGAATAGTGCCTTGCTCATTCTGGACCTAGCACACCACAGGTACTAAGTAACATTAACTGAACTGACAGAGACAAAAAGTTAAATATAAGCTAAGTTACTGTCTTCAAGCCACAAAAACTTATCTAGAAAGAAATGTATCTACCACAGTCACTATTTCATGCTTGACCTTTTTCAGAGAAACATGAGATGGGGAGGTGCAGAGAAGGACATTGAAAAAGAAAAAATACAAATAGATCTGGCAAGACAGTGAAATTCTGAAAATTAACTTCGCACTGCAAATACTCTATTAATTTAAATATTGGAGTGAAACCTTAGCTATTCCAAAATAGATTTTTCAAACAGATCTAGGCCAGGGTGAAGAATTAACCTTATCAATCTTATTTTTACATACTAATATGAAATGTCTAAATACATAAGTGTCTCTGAATACAGATAAGAGTAGTTATTACTATAAGTTATGCCAACAGACAACTCACCTTTCCTTCTGTAACCATTCGTAGAGTATCAATTAATCGAAGTTTGATGGGAAGGTCTGTGATTTCCTCAACGTAAGTACAGCATTGTTGAACCATTTTTGCAACAGCCTAAAATAATAAAAGCCCGTAAGTAAAATCCATTCCTCATACAGGAAAAGGAAGTATGTTATTGATGGAAGTGCTATGGTCAAATCTGGTTTTCCCAAGCGACTCTACATACTGAAATGCCTATGAAAGAACATCAAAGAACATTAAAATCTCCCTGACAGCTAAGAAGTACTGAACACCCAGTAACAATTCGAAAGTTAGGATACCCTCATATGCAAAGACTATACCTCTCCCCACTACAGCTGGTGAACTGATTACACAGAAGGAAACATGGAAGAAGCACATCTGGCGTCTATTCGAAGGCTTGCTAGCAGGCATTTTTACAGCCTAGCGGAAAAGCATGGAGGAAATGGCAATGGACCAAAGGTCTTTTTTTTTTTAAAGGAAGAGAAAAGCAGAGTTCAGTTATGGCTGTGGGAGCAGTGAAGCAATGACCAGTAGATATTGTGACTGCAGGAAAAAAGCATCAGTGGCAGAGGAAGAAGGTAAAAGAGGTCCACCATCTGAGTGAAGAGGAGGAGCCATAGTGACCCACACTCATCTCAGTAAAATGTGACACTGAAAGGCACAGCATCTTTTGCCCAGTTTCCTCACAGGTAATGTAAGTGGGCTGGACTACATTTCCTCCAATCTAACATTCTATGACCTAGCTCAGGGCTCGCAAACCTTTTTTGTAAATTTTTGTTGACATTTACATAATAAATACTTTAGACTTTGTGGGTCATAGGATCTCTGTCTGCCTTTGTAACTTCAAAGCTGCCACAGACAATGCGTTTCAAACACTAATCTGCAAAGGTGGCAGGTGAAATTTCGTCCATAGCCCACAATTTGTCAACCCCTAATTTAGATTCTAAAGAGCATATCATAATCATTGATAATAATTAGGACTCTTTGTCTTCAAGAAAATGTTAAATTATATTAAGCATATTTTATGAAAACAGAAAAGTAAATAGAAAATCTTGCTGTCAATTAAACCTCAATAAAACTGAAAAAGGATTCCCAAGATATATCTTGCAAACTTCCTTGAAAAATAGTTAATGTTCATGTAGCCCAGGTTAGCCTTTTAATTATCTGAAAAATCTGCTGCTCAGAGACCCAAGAGTTCCAAGAAGCAAGGTTTTTATTGTAAACTATAATTCTTTCAGTAAGTACAAGGCTCTGGGACACCTAATATCTCACAAATCATATGATCCCTCTAAAGCTAATTATAATAATGATTTCTAGATGGGCATATGATTGATAATTCTACTGTGCAAAAAACACATTAACGGAAATCAGATGGAGGGTAAGAGCAAAACCAAAACAAAACAATCAATATTCTAATGATAACTGAACATCCTGCAGATCCCAGAAAAACATGTAGATAAGTCATTAAGGAAGCTATGGTTAGAGTGAGGCCTACCCTCTGCTCAAGTGACAATGAACTTGAAACCATTAAGCAATCTAGAAAAGATTATTTTAAAAAAGTATTACTTTCTAAGCCTGATAAGGCAAAAAGTAAGTTTTAGGTAAAGAGTAATTATGAGAAAAGGAAAGAGAATTTTCAGTCCTTAAGCACTTTCCAGTTATGAAGACACGTTACAGCAAAAAGAGCAGTCTTGGTACGTCACTGGCCAACTGCGAGGCTGACTCAAACTCCTCCTTCTCCAAGAAATCTTCTCAATAAACCTAATCAAAAATTTTCTCTTCCTCCTTTCATAATTCTTAGTACCGTTCACTATTCTTATGTCACTTACTATATATTGCTGTGTATGTAAATAATTTTTTACATGAACATTAGAACACTTGTCAAAGATGTACTTAAGATTACTTGTGATTTATATTCTGTATTAAACTGTAGGTTATTTGCACATTTCTTTGCATTCCAAGAGCCTTATACATAAACTTCAGTTTCTCAATCAAAAAAGTAATAGAGTTAAACAGTACCTTTTAATAGCTCTGAAATTTTATGACTCTGAAATCAAATTTGTATTTGAGAAAATGTGCTTTGAATTGTATTAATACTATATAAATGACACATTTTTGTTTATTTTAACCCAGATTGCACTTCTAACCAACCCTAAGTAAACCTTTCAAAATTGCAAAATTGTCTTATAGAAAGCAAGCCTAGTAGAAAATCAGAGGAAGATGACAGTTTATCTATGTTGGTCTCTCAACCACTCTGATGGTTTCTCAAACCACAGACCTGAACACCAAAAGGTATATTTAAACAAATTTCACATTCACATTTACTAGATTGTCTTAATTAAATCTATGTAAATTCTTAACAGTGAATTTTTATGCATGGAAGCTTAACTAAAAAAAAAAAGAAAGAAAAACAATTACAGTAACTTTGTTTTTTGCAAAAAATAATTTAACCCACTAAGCTTACTCTAGCAGCAGACTAATGAAATAAGGGATTTGGACAAGAACCCTATATTTCTGTTTTTGATTCTATTACTGCCCTGTTTTACCATGTCATTACCTTTATCATTTGAAAGCAAAAAATAAAAATCCAGAAGCTTCTCAGAGAATAACATTTTAAAGATGAGATACAAATGTAAAAAGTGGAATCTACTTCTACAGGACCATTTAAATATATCTCAAGCAGAACACAGAAGCAATAACGAAAATTCAGCTTCACAAAAACACCCAAAGAGAACACACATAATCCTTATACAAAATCCATATTCAAAATATCTGAAATGGCCTCAAAAATAAGTTTTAATATTAAGTGTTTAATAAAAGATGTGGTTAAATTACAGATTATCAACATGGTGGATTATGACAAAATCATTTAAAATAAAAAATGAAGATATGGTACGACATGGAAATAGAACAAAGCTGTATCAATACTCTCACTATAATTTTATAAAAATATTCAAATATATAAAGACTAAAAGAAAAAAACAAAAATAAAAGCAGTTGTCATGAGTTTATGGACAGAATTTTTAAAAACTGTCTAGACTGTTATGTTGAATTAACAGTAGATACAATACATATTCACAGAAAGGTTTTCTAAAAGTCCTTATTTAAATGAGAATTTTTTTTCGACCAATCATGAACTCACTTGCTTTAACTGACTCCGTCTTTTTGACAACAGCATAATATTTTCATTAAGTAGATCCCATTCTTTAGCCTCGTAGCACATCTTCACTACTGCAACTAAAATACGAGATGTAGACACCATATCAGAAGCCTGTAAAAATGAAAACATTGAAAGTTAATGCAATCATGTTAAATGAGAGTATTGGTAACTGCAATTTTCACTATAATTTACTCACAGTACGGGTCTGTTTTTCCAAAGAGAGAAGAGTTTCAATGACTTCTTGAAGTCTTCCTTCCTAAAAGATTAAAATGAACAGTGAAAACACCATCAACATGACAAAATCAAATAACTAGTCTAAAATGAGATGTTTCTGACAGAGAAAAGAAAAAAATCAGTGGCCTGTTTTAGAGGAAAAGGACCACCCCCTTAACTACTTTTATACTTTTCATGATAGTGCTTGCTTCTCTAGTGGATTCCGTAAGTCGGTGGTTTCCAACTTGGGGCCCATAAGCTTTTTTACCATTTCAAAATACCTAAAAAAGAAACTGAATATAGAACAACAATGATTTAACACCTGAGGAAAACATCGTCTTTGTTTTGGATTCTAATTTATCAACTTGGTGTGGTAACACCTGTTTATCTCGTTCTAAACAGAGACTCCTAACTGGCAGTCACGTGTCTTTGAAGAATAAAAATGAAAAAATGATTTCTTTAAAAAAATATTTTTATATTTTCAAATTAATGTTTCCAATAACAAGAATTTTAAAATAAAGTTTTGAGGAGAAATAAAAAGGATATTTGGTGGTATAAGGATAGGAATCTCTGGTTTAAATTTTCAATGACCTTAAAAATAAAAAAATGTGCTTAAAAAAATGAAAACCATCTGACAATACCCACACCTGTTATACCTAAAGTCATGTTGTTAAGCAGATACTGATCCAAATAAAACACACCCCTTTTTGTCTACTGATAACAACCTCTACCTCACAGACAAAAACAAAACATTCTCCTTGGGACATATTAAGAAATGAGAATAACAAAATTCAAATAATATAAACCTAAATGACAATACACAAGGACTAAATTAAGCCATTTGACTAGGAACCACACATTTTGATAAAAACAAAATCAACCCATAGCACAAAAATTGCATTTACAATACTGGTATTAATAACAATGACTAAATTGGAAGTAATGAGGAAGGCGTTATTTAGAAATTTTCCTAATCATAAATGAAAAAAATATTTTAATGACATTCATGAATGACACGAGCACTCTTTTGCTGATAAAAGAAACTAAAGAGTTTTTGAATTAAGAGCAAATAATGTTTGAACTTTTCCAAATACTGTTTCCATATTTTCCAAGATAAGTTTTAAACTATGATTTTTCAATGCAGCATAGAATATGTATTATAAAGCCATTATCTGAACGTATTTTAGTTGACACTAAATAGATATGATCACTAATATTTTAACAATGTTTCCTATGTAAAGGGAAGCACCAGTTCTGAAAGCTCTATAGATTCATATATATAATACATGCTAGCTCAATGTCCATCAGAAGAAAAGGACAAAAACTAAATCTATAGATTCCCCGAAGTTCAATGTTAATAAGTTATAACATCAAAGAATCTTAGTGGAAAGACTGCTAGACATCATTTAATCCAATTATCTCACTTTAGAGAGTGAAAAACTGAGGACCAAATAGCTCAGCCACAAAACTAATCAGGAGAACCAGAAGCCAGGGCTCTTGCTTCCTGGTCCAATGTTCCCTTCAGTAAACTAAACCACATCAGTTTAAATCATGTATTTGCTTGAATCAAAGTATGTCCATAGGGAAAATATTACTATCTGGTAACAAATGTAATGTAAAAATAGTTAAAATGCAAAATAACTATTTATTCATGGCCACCTCCTGTCACTTTTGTAATTACTATTAGTCACATGACTGTGATCAACGGAGTGCAGTTTACTACATTTCATCTACGGGTTTTAAAGAATGGAACCCTACATGTGAAGGAATCACATATACATTACTCTAGAGCAATGATCTGCAGGTATCAATGAAACATGAAATGTCACCTTCTCAGAAAGGTGTTCTCAGATAATGCTCTCTAAAATCAGAAGTCACTCAGCACCTTCTTAATACTCAAGCCCACTAACTTTCTGCTTTGCAATGACCTCAGACTGTTTTATTTTAATGTTTACTGTCTTTGTAATCTCACTAGAATGTAAACTCTGCAAGAGCAGGGACCATGTCCATACTGTTCACCACTGAGGCTCAGCGCTCTGCACTTGGCCAAGCACATAATGTTGCTTCTGCAGACATTACGCACAGCCCTCTATGTCTATGCCATAGTTCTTCATGTGCATGTCTTGTCTCCTCAGTCTATAAGGTCCTTTAGGGCTGGACCTTGTTTAGCGAATTGTTTCCCTTGCACCAACTTGCACATAGTATGCACTGAATGGATCCACAACGACTAGAACTATTCAGTTGATCTTAATGGCTTACAATTCCTGATTCTTACTGTCACAGCAAGTAGGATGTGACAAGTTACATGGCCTGACAATTCAGTGCTCTGTGAGGAACACTATCATCAACTTTATTAAACACAGCTCCCAATTCGCTAATTATCCTACTTTTTTCTCCCAATTTTCCATGTTCAATCCTATGGCTAAACATCTTCCTCCTATCTTTGCTATATATTACTACAGTTCTTAAAAATTCCATCTCCTCAATGCTGCCTTTCAACATAGAGAAACAAGACAACCAGAACTATTAAAAACCAACTTGTTAGAACATGTGCCTTTTATGATTCATTTTTCTCATTAAAATAATCATTGTAAATGAGATAAATGACTAAGGAGTTTAACAGCAGTACACGTTGGGTATCTGTAAGTTTGTTATTTTTTCCCCCCACCCCGCCCTCTACCTGTAAGTTTTGTATGTCTGTGTCCTTTACTCCTAAATGGATCCAATCTGTTAATGATTTGTTAAATAACCTAAACAAGTAAGAAAAAGGCCAATAACAAGTTACTACAAATGCTAATCCAATACTTTTAAATGACCTATTTCTCAAAGAGGTCTTTTGTCCAAGCTGCTAGCAATCAGTAAACTGTTTTACATTTCATTTTAATACTAACCTAAGAAGAAGCTGCAGGTGACTAAATGAAATGAAAAGACATTAAAAGGAGAATCAAAGGATATATTTGATTTAAGAACGTAAGTAGTCCCTAAATAACCATGTGCCAAATATACCATAATCAAAAAGTGTATTAAGTTCTGTGTATTAAGAACTGCTAAATGCTACATCTTATAGTTCAGAAAAGGGCTTCTTTAGATTAATTTTTAACTCCTTGATATAAGGGTGAAGCAATAACCATTATCAAGAACTGGTATCACTTTTATTATCTCACCAAACTAATGCAGGGTCCTCAAGTACCAATCACAGGTACAGGAGGATGTAATGGTTAAAAACGCAGGCTCTCCAGCAAGAGTGCTTGGGTCTAAATCTCAGCTCTACCATTGCATTAACTTGGGCAAGACATTTACCCTCTGTGACCCTCTATTTTATCTCCAGTGAAATGAGCACAACAGTCCTTCCACCATAGGGTTGGTGTAGGGATTAAAGCAATACCTGTGAAGGTATGTCTGGAACACAGCATGAACATCATCATCTTCATCATAATAGCTAATATTATATAAAACTTACACGACAATAAATATTACTTATTGTTGTTATTTGCTAGGTGAGTGTTAGGATTTATAGTGTTAGGAATTATACTAGGTCACAATCTTGGGAAATTCAAATGGCCTAGATTTGGCAATTTCGCCACCAGGCTTAGACTTCAGTTTTGAAGGCTTCTGCTATATGTGGTCTTCTCACCTGATACATTCTTAAGTCTCTATATACATAAAATTTTTATCTTCAAATGTCTTTCCTGTTAAAAATAAAAACTGTATTAAGGAAAGTAAATATGGAGTGATAGTCCTGTAAACAGGTTGCAGCATGTAGGAAAAAGAACACTATTCTGTTGCCAGGAGACCTGAGCTTGACCTGGCTCTGCTGTAGACACTGGATAAACCACTTCAGCTGCCCAAACCTTAGTTTTCTCAGTAAAGTGAAAATAAAACGTTCTTCAGTTTTATGTATAGGCTCAAAATAAAAAACAAAAGAATGCATACTAAAGTGTTCCATACATTTCAATGGAGAAATGCAATGCTAAACAAGTATTTTTTTTATGTTTGGAAAAATGGTTAGAAAATAAAACAAAATGATGAATAAATAGCAAAACACAGAAATATACCTTTTAAAAAAAGTTAACTAGGACTGTAAAACAGTCACCAAATCCAGAAGTTAAAGACTATGGGTCTATACAAATAAAAAACTTATACCTTACCATCTTCCAGCCCTCTACCTCTTCTGCCCCCCAATAAAAGCAATCTATACCTACATCTTATTTTGTTCAACTGGCACAGTGGCTTAAAGAAGAATCAGAATCCAAATGCCTTTAATTTTATTTACTTTAAGAGGCCCAACATTCCTTGTTTTAAACATTTTCATTCCACCTGACAACATTAACTGGAAGTGAAGAGTTATTGCTCCCTTTCCCTGGGCAGGTATTCAGAAGTTCAAGTCTTCATTATACGTGGTTCACCAGGCAGGATAGCATGGTAAGAGCACACACTCTAGAAGCAGTTGGTCTGGGTTTGTATCCTGGCTCCATCACTTTACTAGCTGTATGACCTTGGAGCATGTAACTCAACTCCTCCTAGCCTGTTTTCTATAAAATAAGAATAGTACATATCACACAGGTCTAAGGTGAAGATCAAATGAGTTAATCCAGGTAAACACTGCAGAAACTATTCAATAAATGTCACTATTATTATGTACCTGGCACTGTAGGTATTTCAATTTTCCAACCCTTGTGTAACTGATGTTTCTTCACACTAGCCGCTAGAAAGCTCACAGATGAATACATATGGCTCCCCTCCATCAAGTGTACTGAACCCAAGAAATTATCAACGTCATCACTTTTCCCTATCCTTTTTT